AAGTAAAATGTATATTTAAACGAATATTGGTATGTAGTATACACTCAAAATGTTTCACACAAGAAACTAATTCCAGATATAGAACTTACTGCAGAGATTTAAAATAGGAAGTGGGACCAAGTATTTCTTTTTGAGTTTTCCTTACTATAGCGTAAACATAAACGTTACTAAGTAAATGCATAAATTACTGAGTAAACATCCAATTTATTAAGTAAATATACAAGTTGATATGGTGTATACGCCTTTTAGAAGCCGACGGTGAACTTGTCATGAGACATTAGTATTAGATCTATTATATTTTTAAACATTTCGTTCTTAAACTGATCCCTTGAGGATTATCAAGATTAGAAGAGTGTAGAATAACAGTATTCCAACCACACTATACTCGTTATATTCATTGCCAACGATGTGTTTCGGTCAATCCAGAGCTCTTCAGGCCAGCTGGGATACAATAAACGCATCTGTGGTCGGAACATTACTTATATAAACTATTTGATACAACAACAACTGTTATACCACAACCTACCATTAGAGGACACTGTTATCGACCTTCATGTACAAGGAACAGCTTTCCAACCATAGCCCCCGCCAATAAGCAGACCAGGTTATACTTCAAGAGGATGAGCGAGAACGAAGATAGTTAGAACTAAAGCAAGTTAACGACTTTCTATGCCACGTGCTGTCCACACACATAGAATAAAAAAAAATTTGAAAATTATTATATTAAAATAAAAAAGTAGAAAATACATGGCATACCTGCATACCACATTACTCAACGCAGAAAACTGTCCATCTTCTGAACAAAGTGGTTGGTTATTGGATACGCTTAACCGAAGAATAACATGATTTTTGGTTACCCTTTATGTTTACAGACACAAGTTACATGACTTATTCTTTGTTACTGATTATAATGAGTGTGCAGTTTAGTTTCAAACAAAATTTTAAAATTATTATTGCTCTTATTATACCATTTCTGAAACTCTGTTCATCAGTGGCCAATGCTAAGATAATTATAATGAAAGAAAAAGTCTTCTTAGGGCATGTTCTAAATACACGTGACTTAATGGAGGATCTGATTAGCATGTTCTTTCACTTTTATTAACAGTTTTCTTTTAGTAGAACCAATACAGCCTTGCTGACAGCAAAAATAAGTAAATTTATAAACTATATATGATGACTGTAAAACATGTATCTGGTCTTTAAACCTGACAAAAACAACGGGCGAGTGCTAGACAACTTGACCGGAATATTTACGGATCTAATAACATGAATACCGATTTCATTTTTCAGTAGCTTAAGGTATGCGACGATTGAACAGACATGCCGTGTAAGCATTTTGTGTACACGTGACTTGTATCCTTCTTCATTATTGTCTGTACTGTTATCCTAAGAAAGAGGAAGGCTTTTGCCTCTAACCTTTGTGTTCGTGAATTCTCATACGTTAGAAAACGCCGCACTCTGCTTACCACGGCTGAGGTGCGACTTGTTGCGGGTCTCTCTCTGGATGGTCTTGGTTTCCAAACATAATCCATATTACTTTGTTTTCCAGCGTAATTAAGAAAAAGGGATATATATATATCCCTATCCTGGAGAATTTAAATCCCCCTCCTAAACACGTGTTTTTGATTTGAATGTATAATTATTTTGCGTTGGAAAGGGCTGTCGCATACTTTTACCAAAAGTGATCAATTTTCGGTGGCTTCACACTAACGCCCAACAATGTCAAAATACAGCTCTGACACACTTCATTCCACCACAACTTTATATCGACTGTGTTATCAAGAGATTTGCTGATCTGAGTAACCAAATTTGTTTTATATAACTTCCTCAATCTTCTGAATTTTTTTTTTCATGGTTAATCCGTCAAAAGTTCTACGTGTGAATTTTTGTGGATTGCTGTTTTTTTTCAGCTGATGATGATATAATACGATATCTTGTCTGACGACTTTGGTGCTTGAAAAATGTAATATTAAAATTACGGCTCAGACTGTGACATTTTTTGAAGAGGAAGCATATATCTTCAATCCACGTGAGCACGTAAGACGATCTGTCGGACACGTGTATATTCTATAGCTTTTCGTGTTTTTATAAACCTTAAACGTGGTGTGTAGGAAGACATTGGAAAAAAAAAGTCATATTCATTCGTATTGAAGCTTCCCCCGCATTATACTGAAAGAACCGTTGTTATTATTAAACGTTCATCTTAAATTTTTAAAATGCTTTCCATGTTTTGTAAGACTTTCTTTCTGTTACTAAAGTGTATTCTAACAAACAATAGCACTCGAGTCATCGGCTTATCTTTTGAATGACCAAACCACGAGTACCGAAGTAACATAGTAGTTATATATTTATTTCTATCGTAACTTTTACCGTATTAGGACAAATGTTACCTCTCACCAACACTGTGCAGCCAGCACGTGACCCGCCATCCATGTTGAAAAACTTTGATGTGGACAATAGAGTGAGTGATCCTCGATTTAATATATTACGTATGTGTTTTTATTAGAAGTATATTTCGTTTATAAGTTGTGAAGTCAAGAAAATCACAAATAAACATGCCTTTGTGTTTGATAATTAATACAGTTTTTTAGTGTAAAATACTAAATTATGAGAACCTTATGACAGTAGGTTTTAACATAAAATACTAAATTACGAGAACCTTGTGACAGTAGATTTTTAGTGTAAAATACTAAATTATGAGAACCTTATGACAGTAGGTTTTAACATAAAATACTAAATTACGAAAACCTTGTGACAGTAGACTTTTTAGTGTAAAATACTAAATTATGAGAACCTTATGACAGTAGGTTTTAACATAAAATACTAAATTACGAGAACCTTGTGGCAGTAGATTTTTAGTTAAAATACTAAATTATAAGAACTTTATAACAGTGGGTCTTATTCTAAAATATAAAATTACGAGGACCTTATGACAGTAGGTTTTAGTGTTTTTTTGTTTGTTTGTAATTAAGCCCAAAGCTACACAATGGGCTATTTGTGCTCTGCCCACCACTGGTATCGAAACCCGGATTCTAGCGTTGTAAGCCCGCAGACATACCGCTGTGCCACTGAAGGGGTAGGTTTTTAGTGTAAATACTAAATTACGAGAACCTTATGACAGTACGTTTCTAGTGTAAAATACTAAATTACGAGGACCTTATGACAGTAGGTTTTTAACATAAAATACTAAATTACGAGAACCTTATGAAAGTATGTTTTTAGGGTAAAATACTAAATTATAAGAACTTTATGACAGTAGGTTTTTAGTGTAAAATACTAAATGTTTGTGCTGGAACAAATAACTATTGGTACGTCTAATTTCAGAGTTGGTAAGTAATCAGTAATTTTCGTGCATTAATATGTAGTTGTAATATATTACATGTGTAGATATGTGGTTGTTAGTGTATTACATGTGTATATATGTGGTTATTAGTGTACTACATGTGTAAATAAGTGGTTATTAGTATACTATATGTGATTATTGGTATACCATATATGTAGATATGTAGTTATTAGTGTATTAATTATACATATATGTGGTTATTAGTGTACTACATGTGTAGATAAGTGGTTGTTAGTGTATTACATGTGTAAATAAGTGGTTATTGGTATACTATATGTGTATATATGTGATTATTGGTATACCATATATGTAGATATGTAGTTGTTAGTGTATTAATTATACATATATGTGGTTATTAGTGCACTACATGTGTAGATAAATGGTTGTTAGTGTATTACATGTGTAAATAAGAGGTTATTAGTATACTATATGTGTATATATGTGATTATTGGTATACCATATATGTAGATATGTAGTTGTTAGTGTATTAATTATGTATATATGTGGTTATTAGTGTACTACATGTGTAGATAAGTGGTGGTTAGTGTATTACATGTGTATATATGTGATTATTGGTATACTATATATCTATATATGTAGTTGTTAATGTATTAATTATGTAGATATATGGTTGTTAGTGTATTGCATGTGTAGATATGTGATCCATAGTGCTTGCTTAGCGTTGTTGAGCTCCTAAGTAATCCATACTGTTTGCTTCAATCAGTGTGTGGTAAACTAGCCAAAAGTGTTTTATAAAGCTACCATTCAAGACTAATTATCATGCATATTATAATGTGGTTATTTTATTAATTGCTGATTATTCTGTACAAGAAAAAATAGACAAATTGAAAATCACATGATAATAAAAACCCTAAAGCTTCGAAATATAATTTTTTGGCAATTTGTGAACGAATAAAAATTAATGTATCATCGATAAAGTGATATTTCAACATTTAAATATTTACAAACTGAATTCAATTACCTTGACTTTGGAATAAAAGTAAGGGTAAACAGAATGATTATGATCTAATTTGTCCACCATTTTGAAGAACAACTACACTTCATGAAAGACCTGTTGGAATAACAGATAATGATAGTTATAGGAAAGGGTTTTATATGTTTCTGCACTTTATGAAAGTACACAAGAAGAAAATGTATTTATATTGTTGTTTGTTTGTTTCAGACTCTTGACCTATCTAATAACTACAGCTTCAGAGTTGAGCATGCAGAGGTATATTTTTGTTTTACAAATTGCCCTTCTAGAACACCGTATTTATACTTACAAGAATCTTTGATACTGGTTTAAAAACCGGTGCAGTAAATCTCGAGGTCTTCTACTAATTATTATATTGTTGTTATCCAAACATTGAATCCTAACAGCACGAAACTTAATTGTCTACAAAAGCTGCACATGTTTTATTTTATTTTTACTTCCTATGTTTTAAAAGTCAAGGCTCACATAGTCTTAAACAAATCAAACATCGGTAGAAAAATCCTAGTTCTCAGTTCAGCCAATTACGTCGTTTCCTATTTGGCGACGATTTATTAAACCGACCAATGACAGGTCGCGGGGAACACGTGGTCATTGCTAAAATAATACAGTCCAGAATGTATATTAGTTTCAGTATAACTATGATAGTTTCAAACGTGACACTATAGGTAGTAGATGTTGATACCAGTAGCTGTTTTTAGAGGGTACACATCGATAACATTATCAAGAGAACAATATTATGGTCTAGAGTTTATACCATTTCTAAACGTTTGCTAGAACTCCTGAACCTTGCAATGCAGGCCTGTAGTATGCCAGATTTGCAAAACGAGTTTTCATCTTTATATTTATCGTGTCGCACGACTCCAAGAGGTATCCCCAACTCGAGCCCACCCAGAAGTTACTTAACCTGCCAAGAAACAGATAGAAACAGGGACATTCAGCAGCCTGATAGTCCTAGGCGAGCTACGTATCCACTTGCCTCACCTTCCCGCCGTCGCCGCAGCAACTTATGTATGGATTGTGAAGTTGACTCTTGGGCTCAGTTCAGACGACGAAGTAGCACAAATCCTCTCTCAACAAGCAGCCTGGTGTTAAACGGTCATCGCCTTCGTCGCTTTAGCGTCACCCCTAAGAGGATAGTTCATTTGGGTGACCTGGTCAGGGATCGATCCCGTTCTGACATAGAACCTTACGATAGAAGTTGTAGCGACGCCAGCGATTATCTTTCCTCAGCGAGTTCTAGCCGCAGAGGTAGTAACCTCTCCCGGCACAGTGTGGTGATCATTGGAGGAGAGAATGTCGGAAAAACAAGTCTTATCTACAACTTCTTGAATTCAGATTACTTGACTGGATGTGAGAGCTACCAAGCGAATCCAGGTAAACTACCAAAACTTTTAACGAGCGAATCCAGGTAAACTACCAAAACTTTTAACGAGCGAATCCGGGTAAATTAGCAAAATTTTTAACATGCGAATCTAGTTAAGTATCCAAAACTTTTACAAAGTGAATGCAGGTAAATTACTCCAATATTAGCTACGTCACAATTATGATATTAATTACGTCTGAAGTTTCAAGTGTAGAAAATATCCATAATTAAGCTAGTAATTTCTTTGTTTTTTATTTTTCTATATCTAAACCTCATATAGCTACTGTATAAAATTGGTATTTATTTAGACATTACCAATAGGTATAAAAGAAGTATTTTAACCAATATCTTCTAGTCTTAGGGTAAATCTTCTGATGAGTATTTCGTAAATCTTTGTTGATGTTTTTCGTTTTTTGATAGAGCCTTTATAACTCCTGGTTACTACAATAAGGCTTTAAAACATAAAAAATGTTTGCCAACTTTGCTTTAGAACTTGTTGTTAAGGGCAGATCATTGTAAAGTACGTGTTCTGAATTTTTACTGTCTTAAGTTCTTCATTTATAAAACATTTTGCTATACACATTAAAAACTTCTCGAAATAAAAAGAAAATCAAATAAATATTACACCGAACAACAAATACACATAAGTAATTGTTTCATGTTGTATATCATAGTATATAAATCGTGTCGCTACATGTATACTTGTATTGATCTTTAGAGGACGACGTGGAAAGATCTGTTTCCGTGCTTATTGATGAGGAAGAGACTGAGTTAATCTTCCAATCCATTTCCTCCTCGGAAGTTACGGTACGTCATCCATTTCTTCATCTTATTCTCAGACTGTTATTTGTTATAACGTTATTCCCAATGCTATTGTTTAATTATCTACGGAGATGTAAGAAGTGAGTTTTAATATACAGTTCTCAAGTGGCATAATTGGGAGGGTGTTAGATAAATCAAAGAAACAGAAGAGAAACATCGCACGTGGTTGGAGTTGCTATTTTATAAACAAAACAAAAACATGTCCATTAGTTTAGAATATAAAGCTCAATAGAACTTTTTGATTGATAACGTTTATTTATAGTTGATTCAGACATATACTGCTTGACAGTTTTAGAAACAAATACTGGTAGTCTAGAACAAAATATATAGTGATTATTCATAACTATTCTCAGGAAAAAAAGTACGTCCATAGTCTATAATGAATATATTTGTCAATAAACGTGGTTTCTAATATGGTTTGTTGCTTTAATCTACCATTGTTGTAGTATTCCTAACCAAAGAAGGACCATGACTTGCCCTGAAATATGACATACCAGAATAGATAAAGCGTTAATTCTTTAAGACAATAACCAATAAGAAATATATCACGCCAAGATAAATAAAGCGTTAATCCTTCAACACAAGAGCCAAAAAGAAACATGTGATGCTAGAATAGATAAAGCGTTAATCCTTCAGCATATAAATGGCTACGCAGCTGTTAAGATGAAGCAGGTTTGAAATGTTTCTCACCAAGATGGATAAAGCGTTAATTCTTTAACACAAAAGCCAACTAGAAATACGTGGTGCTAAAATGGATAAAACGTTAATCCTATAACACAAACGCCAACAAGAAATATGTCGTGCTAGAATAGATAAAGCGTTAATCCTTTAACACAAAAACGAACATTGTATATTCGTTAAGGTACGTCAGTGTGGATATTATTTAAAATGTTAAGGTATCTAAGAGTGACTATGATTTAAAATTTACGGTACCTCAAAGTAGCTATTATTCAAAATGTTAAGATAAAATACATTTTTCATAATGCATATCAAACGGCTTGATAGGTGTTGTTTGTTAGAAACAACGTATAATTAAACATTATTATTATTGTGTCAGTATTATGTCATAATGCATATCAAACGGCTTGATAGGTGTTGTTTGTTAGAAACAACGTATAATTAAACATTATTATTATTGTGTCAGTATTATGTCATAATGCATATCAAACGGCTTGATAGGTGTTGTTTGTTAGAAACAACCTATAATTAAACATTATTATTATTGTGTCAATATTTTAAAGCCAAAGAAATATTGTAGACGGTAGCATTACATTTGGCTGGTCTAAATTCTTAAGTTGATTATTATTTACGCAGGCCTAATGATCGGGAAAAGTCAAAATACAGTAACATGTTATATGTGTTTTAGCAAATCCAAATAATGGATATATTCTAAGTACTTAAACGTATTTATATATATATATTATAATAATTGCTTAAACACGTTCTTCTTGCCAATAGGTAAAGTATAACCTATGTGTATTCTCTTCTTGGTTACATTTAAACATGGCATTATGATATTATGAGTATAATCAGTGATGCTTTGATAACTTAATAGAAAAATGTTATAATGGGAATTTGTTGGTGCCTCCCCTTCCCTTTCTTAACACACAAAAAACTCCTACGGCCCTGATTATTAAGCATTCTTTCTTGTATGACATCTCATATTATTTATTGAGTTAATGGACACCAATTAAGCTATTCATTTTTGTATTTGTTTTTTTTTTTTTATATTTCCATGTCTTTTTTACGTGTTTTTTCTTAAAAACGATCTCATTGGAGTAATTTATAATCGAAATATTTACAAATATCGAATCGATAATTGCCCCCCCCCCCTTCCCAGTAGTACAGTGGTACGTCTGCGGACTTACAATGCTAGAAACCAGGTTTCGATACCCGTGGTAGGCAGAGCACAGACAGCCCACTGTGTAGCTTTGTGCTTAATTAAAAACAAACAAACGAATCGATAATCTAACTTAATTGCAAAAGTGATAATCACTCAGCACTAGTAGTTATATATCTTTTCTTCGTATTTGTTGAAATCCAAGTTTAATTTCTCGGAGTTTTAAACTTACATCCAACTATCTCTTTTCATATGATAAAGAACAGACTGGCGAAATGCTCTATTGCTTTGATGCGTGATACATTAAAGACATTTGAACTATACGAATCTACTGATCAAACCGCTGCTCGTGATATTCGTAATAAAGTTCATTGAATTCCTTACATTACAACACAAGGAGGAATTTAAAATCCAAGAAACTCGCAAATATTATGTCTTTGTATAGGGTGGAAAGTTTTAATCTTCGTCCGGACGTAGGACCACCATCCTACAGTAACCACGAAGATATACCAGTGAACACATCGCCTACCTCTATCGTACTGACCTAAACCTAATGGATTGTGAGAACTCTCTTCTAAATAAATGTTTAAACATTAAGAAATATCTAAACAAGTTCATCACAAGACATGAAGTCCAACGTTTTTTCGATGTTTGTGTCTTCATTCTTACACTTCGACTTCAGGTCAGTCAAACAGGAAATATGCCACCTACCAACACCAGTAAGTCATAGTCATAGAAACAAATAACGCGTGGACACCCCCACATGGAACATTTATTTCTCTCGATTACTGCATAGAGAAATATCAAAAGGAAATTTACAACTCGGATCTCACAACATCAATAAAGGCAAAGAAACAGCTATGTATAATATACGTTGTTCTGACAATATTGTAATAAAATAAGCAGACAGGTTTGAAATATGTCATGCTACGATATATAAAGCGTTAATACTTTAACACAGGAGCCAACAAGAAATATCTCATACTAGAATAGATAAAACGTTAATCTTTTAACACAAGAATCAACAGGGTACGCAGCTGCCATGATAAAACAGGTTTGAAATATGTCATACCAGGAAGAGATAACTTTATCTTCAAGAAGCTATCAGACCAATCGTTCTGTGCTACCTGTGATAACAACGCTCTTGATGACCATCAACAGATTTTCCGTGTCACAATAGAACTATTTATATAAACTAGCGAATATTCATTATAAGATAGGATTTTTATTGTAAGGTACCATAAACTTTCTGTGTTTTATCTTTTCCTAAGATACAAAAGCCAGTAAATCCTGGTTGACCCACAGTTTCAACATGCAGCTACCCTATTTATCTCATTTTTAGTTACCTCGATTCTATCCCAACTCCCTACTTACATTTAGGACACCAATGAAGCCTTACAAAATAAATGCAAATTTTGACTCAGAATCAGATTTTATTATTTTATTCACACTAAACCAAACATACCCTAGACTCACCTAGTGTAATCTCCATTCCATATAAAGATAGACTCAAAGCCCTACAACACTACCTTGATAAAGCCAGCTTATTCTGCGGATAGGTATTTCACCTGTATATTTAACTGTTTAATTCATTGTGTTTTGAGGTGTAATCCTATATTTGTATAAGAATTTCAAGAATATGCAGCATTGTATTATTTGTGACAACTGCGACAACAACTACGTGAGAGAAATCCACCGTATGTTCGCCGAACCTATAGAAGAGCATTTACATAGCTTTTCGATCGATAAGCTCGACACTTCAACAAAACTGGCCATTCCCATTGGTCCTCTCTAACGCCAGTCAAAGAATCAGAATCAAAAAAGAAACAATTTTGAAATTAGAGCATAAATCCTTTTGATATTAATGAATATGTCAGGTTTTTATAGGTTTTAAAATAATTTTTTTTAATGTTTTTAAAAATCGTTCAAGTTATTTGTTTCAATGTTTTTAATTTTTTTGGAACTTGTTCATATTAACTTTTGATGTCTTTTTTATCATTTTTTTCTTATTTCTAATAAGTAGCTCGTCAATATTTTTTTCAGTTTTATTATGTTTTTTAAATCCGTATTTTTCGGAATATAAGACGCACCCTTATTTTGAAGACAAAGTTTTGGGGGAAATAACGCTACAGTCGCATTTGAAAGATTTTTATTGAACAGAAATTCAAATTGATACTTTAAAAATTAGTATATATTGTTCTAAACACAAAAGAGCTCAAAACATCAAAATAAGAAAATACCGTAAATCAAAAAAAGGTTTACTGTTATTTAGTTTGATTCAAAACCTACAAAATATTCATTGCTTTCACTGCAATAGTTATGTTTTTAAAAGAAAAAAAATATTATTGTTATAAATAACACATTAAATTGAGCTGAACTATACATGCCT